CATCGTCTTCTGGTAGAATGATTTCACCCAGGGTGACCTGCATACATGAGCCGAATTCCCAAGGGATTTGGATAGCTGTCCACCTTGATGTTTTGAACGTCCTTGCGAAAAGAAAGCTCAAGGCTCTTGTTTTTCAGGGTGTAGACCATGCGAATGCCGTCCAAAAGGGCGGCTTCGCCGACTTCTGGCTGTTGCTGGAGCAGAAAATGAGACACGATGGTGGCCCACTCATGGTCGCTACCCTTGAATTTGTGTTTAAGTGCTCCGAGATTACGGTGCTTGACTGAGCCGGGTTAGATGGCGAACCACAGTCGTGCTGTGGATCCTGTCTTACTCGAGGTGACATATGGGGTTTCGCCCTCGCATCCCACCAATCTCACATCGAGAGGGTGACTGCCCTCCTGCAGCACTTCGATGACGACAGTGTCTCCGCCGTTGGCAGGCTCGACTGGCACGATGTTGCGGGCGGACATTGATGGATGTACCTGCACTAGTGGACGCGGACTGCGGAAGTGTGCCGAGTTGGAAGGTTTGGTGGTGTTGGACTAGGAAGGGTAGTGGTGTTGGTCTAGGAAAGGGTACCGGGCGTTTCAAGTGGTAGGGGGAACTATTGAAACCGTAACTTGAACCACCTCTACCTGAGACAGGACGCGAGGGTTATATTTGCAGAGTCGCGTGGTGGAGGCCTGCTGGCGGACGCGTAGAGGCTCGGTAGGCGCAGGCAGCACCCGCCAGAATGAAGATTTAGTGTTTGTTGTTCAGGCATCCGCCTGGGACGCGATTCGCAGCCGATCAGCACCAGTCCCTCAGAATAGCCACATATTCGGCGCAGAAACAAACATGGGCAGCACCATGTATGGGACTATATAGGCAACGACCGCCTGTATTATGCGGGGGGCAGAATTGCACAATCTGTTCCTGCATATACCCTCCCGTCACGTAGGACACATCACCGCCGTCATTGTCTCCCGTGCTGCAGGGGTGTGGAGTCTGTTGTTCTTATCGACACGCGTGTCGTAGCGTGCGGGCCACTTTGCGGGCCTTCCTTTGTCGACTTACCGCCTTCCAGCTCGCGTAGCCCTGCAGGAACCTGCAAGCGGTGCAAGAGCGACCCTCGCCGGCCCACAGCCCAACCACCTCAGTACCTCTCGCGAAGATCCTGCACACACCCACCTCACACCGCGTGCCTGCCATAATCGCGCTCCACAGAGCATGGCGGCCAACAACCGCTCCTTTGCGGCGCGCATCGCCTCCATCACTTCGCAGAGCACACAGATGGAAACATGGGACGACGGCGACTTCGACGACCGCTCCGACGGCCTCCTCTTCAAGAACTCAACAGTACACTCGCTATCCTCACGCATGAGCGTGCGCTCCGAAACAGAATCACAGGACGACTGGCAGTTCCTCATCACCCCAGACGACCAAGCAACCAACACTTCCGCCATCAAGACGGCCGCGAAACAGGCCGGCATTCCGATACCCACGAGCGTGCCATCGTCGGCACTCCTAGGGGGCTCCATCAAGAGGCTGGGCAAGAAGAAGTCGACCAAGAAGATCGAGGTGGACGACGACTGGGGGAATGATTTGGAGCTTCCCAGCAACGCGTCCGAGGGCTTGAAGCTCAAGACGCCCAAGCCACGTACGCCAGTAGAAGAGCAGGACGATGATTTCGACTGGGGCGAGGGCTCGCTGGGCATCCGCTTCGCAGGTACGCGACAGGGAACTCGCGGTGCACGCAGCTCTTCCATATCCGCCATGAGTCCCAGCCTAGGCAGCATCATGACCATGGAGAGCGAAGAAGACGATCTGGGCGGTCTCGTGCTTCCCACAGAGGCCATGGACTTTGGTGCGCGTCTGGAAAAGCTCAAGAAGGCCGAGCAACCACCAGCACATGAAGCCTCGCTCCTTCCGCCTCTGCCATTGCGCGAACAGCCCACTGCGCCCATGTCACCCACCTCGGCCCCCATGCAGGAGCCGCCCCAATCACCCATCGCTGCACCATTGTCCCCTTCGCCCTTCAGCAGCCCCAAGGCCTATAGCCCCAAGGCCCACAGCCCCAAAGCACCATCACCCAAGAAGCCCGCAGTCGAAGAGGAAGACTTTGAGGACGCTTTCGACTTTGGCAATGGCGACATCCTGGACCGACAGAAGCTAACCCTGAACAAAAACATTGTCGTAAAGAAGCCGGCTACCAAGACGACCGCCCCACACGCTGCTCGTCCCGCAACTACCATCACCTTCACCGACAGGCCCACTACCTCACGGATACCCAGGCCCCTGCCGTCCATCGCCAGCCGTACCAGACTTACCCCTGTCTACGAAAGTGGAGCGTCCACGTCGAACAATTCCACTCGTACCATGCCCACGACTACCAGTGCCCAGCTGCTCCGCGCAAAGCGATCTGCTCCTGTCCTCCGTAACCTCAACCAGAGTCAGCAACCACGAATGCCATTTCTTCCTGCCGGCGGAACGTCGTCTCAATCCCACCACGTCATGTCAAAGAGCACTTCGCAGTCCCACCTCCGTCGCGACTCGGACCCTCGCCGACCACAGTCTCCCTCGATGCGAACCTACTCACGCTTGTCTGGCGGCGGCAACAATGAGACACCGAGTCGTGCTTCGGTGAGACGTGACATGGCCCCGTCTGCCCTTGCACGTCATCCAGCCCCGAAGAAGCTGACACAGCCTCAGCGCAAGCGCAACTTTGGTGACGGTCATGAGCTCGACCTGTTCGACGACTTACCTACCTCGGCTTCCAAAGAGAAGCAGTTTGAAAAGGTGCCGCGCAACGTCGCAAGTAACAAGTCGCTGCGCACTCAGCCTAGCAATTCACGTCTGCCGATGCCTGATCGAATGCAAACGCCTATGCCTCAGACGCCGCGAAGCCCTCCCAAGATGGACCACACTCCTCGCTTTGCTCGTGACACGGCAGCAAGTAGGAATGCACGTGAGCAGCGTCTGGCAGGTACAAGGTCGCGAGCAGAAGGTCCCGTTTCCACTAGGCCCGTCAGTTGGGCCGCTCAAGTGGCAGCTCGTAGTCCGCATACCAGTCCATCCGCTCACAGGAAGAAAGGCTCGGGACAGAAGCCGCAGTTGATCAGGCAGATGACGCAGCCTTATACACAAAGTACAACACCCAACCACTACTTCCAGCTCCTACTGACCATTGCATAGATGAAAAAGGTATGATTTATAACCCAACTTTACAACGTTGGGAAGGAAACGAGGAAGCTCTTGTTTCCTTCTCACACCCTAATACTTCCACTACAACCCTCGCCCTAACCACGGCGAGCACGCCTACCTTTGCCCCGCCGGGAAACCAGATGAGCCGCGGCCATGACCGTTCCCAGTCCATCTCGCACATCGCACTGTCGTCCATCCATGCCAATCAGACCCACCACCAAGCACATAGAAGCTTCTCGTCGCGAGCGGCCAAGTTGGCCCAGCCGCCAGCACCTGCGCCAGTGCCTTCTCCGCCACGACCTGCCTTGATCTCTCAGATTTCCGTACCACGTAATGTCCAGTACGAAGGCCGCATGGTGTTTGACCCTGTCAAGATGACTTGGCTCAAGGCGCCTCGGCCGGCAAATGAGATTGGATCACCTTCAGAAGTGGACGAAGAAGAGGACCCGTTCGCCGGCCTCGACGACCTCAAGGATAACGAGAGTGTTGCTGGCGGCAATGGCATGGGTGGCGCCGGCACACCAAACCCCGATGACCCAACCTTTGTGGGCGAGGAGTTTGATGTCGGACCTGGCTTCATCCGCCGACAGCGCGACGAAGAAGCCATCTGGCGACGACGAGTCGAAGGCTGGGTCGGCGGCCTCCGCGACGATGGCATCCAACACGGCGGTTGGAGATGGGCGATTCGCGACTTCGCCGCTGCCAGTGCTCACGCTGGACCCCCGGCATTTTAACGACCACGACACTTGTACTATTATGTGCACTCACACAAACTCACGACTTAATGATTGCATGCATCGCAGATCAGATTTGGTCCTTGGGCGCGACTTTGTTGTTGGACTATGTTCCACATACACAAAAGTTAATGATGACGCTGCCCTGGAATGTCTTCTTTTTGAGATATCCCCCATACCCCAGAGTGTTACGATGGGCGTAGTTTTGGATAACTACCGCCTCACTCTTACGTTACGAATACGCATTTTACGACTCTTACGAAAAGCAGCTGCTTGTATACACAAAAAGCTTTGCTATTGCACACATACAAACGAACGCGAAATACCTTACAGATGGAGCTTCACTGCTCGGACATGACTACACGATACGATTTCCTTTTTCCACAGTAACCCAACTCACAGTCTCTCACTACAAGATCCCGCCAGGATCGAGCAGAGGAGAGCTGCACGATATGATTTCTTTTGTTTTTGTGATCTATGGCGTTTGGGTTTGAGACTTCTGTACATGTGAAAGCATCTAATACCATATTCTTGCTACTATCGAACGAATGAATTTTTACGTTATCATCATTTGCACCTTCTTTATGGTGATTACTATCAATGTACAATGCTAGAATGCAGGTACGGCCCTGTCGGATAACGGATCCATGACGATCGTAATGCAAGTGGATATTCCAAACGCCTTGGTTTCACTATATGTATGGGCAAGTCTTTCGATCGTTAGAGGCAGACCATGCATTTTCCCCCTGAATCCGTGCTCCGAAGATCGCACCGCTGTGATGCGGCTCGTTCTCGCGCAGTTGAAAGGACCAAGCAACTGACGCCACCAAATATGCCGTGGGGATCCGTTTACAGAGAAGCAATCATTCATGGTTCTGTTATCATCATCATGCTAGCTCACAAAGAGAGTCTGGAAAGCTACTAGTAGGAGTTGTCAATGGTGATGTGGCTGGCTGCAGCTGCTTCCTCATTGGGTGGTTGGCGGAGTCATAATAGCGGGGTTGCTGCTCACATGCCCAAGTAGACCCACTGCCAGTCACCATATCCCGCCGGGCGTCACCGCTTCTCCTACCCTATATCATGTCGCGCTCCAACGACCCGGGTCACTACTTTCAGACGACGTATGGACTATCATCTATACATCTTCCAACTCTCTAGCTGATACCATGTAGCTCCTCCCTCGAGGAGACAGCTCGAAAGGCTGCAAAATCCAAGAACACCAAGGGCACCCCTATCAAGCTCCCCTCCAAGATCCTCGCTGCCATCGCCGACCCGCAAGATGACAACTGCATCTACGTTGCTGAAGCAGCAGGCAACGTGAAGCGTATCAACATTGAAGTCGGTCAGACCTCCGTTTCGCTGCCCAGCTCGTGGCTTCACATAGCTCTAGGCATCAGCCACTGACATGTTCTCCTATAGACGAGTAAAGTTGCCGCCACGTTCTCAGGACCTACTGCTCCTCTCACATCCGTCGCCGTTTCCCCTAAATCGGACACGTTGTTTGCGGGGTGTTGGGACAAGTCTATTTGGTCATGGACACTGTCCACGCGTAAGACCGCCCAGCGTTTCCAAGGCCACAGTGACTTCGTCAAGGCCGTCATAACATTCACGTTGAACGGCAAAGAGATCCTAGTGTCAGCTTCACAGGATGCTAGCATCATTGTTTGGGACGTCGCCGCGGGATCGAAGCTACACACTTTGAAGGGACACACACGTGGAATCCTCGCTCTTGCGTTGGACCCAGTTGACTACGAGCCCGGCAAAGAGACTGCCACAGTGTTCAGTGCTGGAAGTGACCGAGAAATCAGGCGATGGTCCATCGGGTTAACCTCAGCTTCTGAGGTACAACCGTCGCCAATCATTTCCCACGAAACAAGCATCGACGCCTTACGTTTCGATTCGGACGGCGATCTTTGGACAGCTTCAGCAGACAAGACAGCCAAGTGCCTATCCAGGGGCCGTGAGTGGGAAGAAGACTCCCAGTTCGAGCACCCTGATTTCGTTCGCGATGTTGCCATTGACGAGGAAGGCGGTTGGTTGGTGTCCGTATGCAGAGACGAAGAGGTTCGCGTTTGGGACAAAAGCAGCGGAAAGCTGCATCATACATTCAGTGGGCATTTTGAAGAGGTTACCAGCCTCGTTCTACTAGGACAACGTGTGATCACCGTGGGCATTGACGCTACAGTCCGATGTTGGAGCCTGAAGCCACAAGAGCTGACTAAGGCTATCCAAGAGGCCGAAGACGAGCGCCTCGGTAAGGAAAAGGACAAGGAACCCGAGAAGAAAGAGGGCATGATGACTGCGGAAGAAGAAGCGGAGCTTGCTGAGCTTCTAGAAGATAGCGATTAGTTCCCGACGAGCGGACCACCACCGGACATTTGCGACCGTGTTTTCTGGAATCCGATGAGCTTGTCCGGTTAGCCCGCCTAGGTAAATACGAAACGAGACAGTAAGCCAAGACGGTCATGATGTACCCCACTATCCGGCCACGGCTCCCAAGGACGAACACGCCTAGCTTTGCGACGACATGGCCTCAGCCAACCAGCTTCCCGTCCAAGCCCCTCATCACACGAGAGGCATTACGGAGACTGGCCATGCTTACAGCTCAGTTCTAGCACCATTGTTCGTCTGACCATAGCGCAGTCCAACACTGTACAGGTCGTCTTACGCCGGATGTGGATCGGTACATACCATGGTTGGCTTCACATTCTCTGTACAGAGTATTCTGGTATTCCCCATTCTCCTTCTATGATTGATACGTGGTGCTGTTTACTGGTGTCTAGCATTCGTGCCAGGGCCCGTCAACGACGCACCTCGACATGTGATTCTCGATAACAGACGATCCTCTCCCTTCCACAGATTCCTGGCTACATTCATCACACCTCATCACATGAGCATTCTTACCTGACCACACTCGACGGATTCTTACACTTCTTTGCTTCCATGTATTGCTTTTGCGTCAAGCGGCACTTCCTCTTCTTCCAACACTTCTTATCGCAATAGCTTATGCACCGCCTTAAACCACGTCGCCGAACTATCGACCGCACACGTCAGCCGATGTTCCGATCGATGCCCGCGATAAGATCCTCCCAGCTCTCCTCCCTCGTTCGGGTCTAGCTAGCACCATTTGGTGCAGCGGACAGATGGCCATGAGGGGGACGCAGAACTCACGCCAGGGAGCACTTGCTGCAGCCCCGCCACCAGTGTCGCTTTTTCAGGTTGTCGCGTGTGGAAGATACCACCAGATATTAGCCTTGTGCTTTGACAGACCTCAAGGTCCTTGGTTCATTGACGCGAGAAGATGCGTCCCCCTCGAGGCAGTCAAACCACATGTAGGAAGTCAAGGCTTCTCTTACTGTTTCTTGTGCGCGTTACCGACGAGAGGTCTCGTCATAGTTGATCTTTATCCATCGGTTAGCGCTTGTCACGTCAGGGATTTTACCCCATTACTCAGTACCCTTTTCAGGCGAACAGTAGCAGATGCCAACAGATATGGAGCTTCACTTTACTCCGGTATCGTGGCTCTGACAGACCTATGGTCCGTGGCGACGTGTTTGGCGTGCAAGACGGCTGGCCTTGAATGTTGCGACAATGGATGATGAGTTTCCTCGTTCGTGGCTGGGCATGGGTCACTTTACTGAGAGTGTTGAGACACTGGTTGGTAAGCTCTTGTAGCGGAGGCTTCAAGCTTTTGCCCCATTTTGTTCCGATTCGACTGCGATCATGTAGCCTCGATGTCGATGTTCGCGCAATTTGCGCATTACAGAGCGAGGAGCCTGTCAGTCAAAGGGAGTATTCCCCACCACCAGTGTTGTCTTTTCAGAGAACGAGTGTGGTAGATGCCTGCGATATGGAGACTTCTTCGGAAGAATCCAACAGACCGCAAGGTCCATGGCGTTCTTTGGCTACAGTCACTTCTCGCGTTGACACCCTTGCGGTTAGCAGAGTCTGTGGGACACCCAGACCGAGCTAGAAGAGGGCATACCGCCACGTTTACGTCTGGTCTCCTTATCGATCCCCAGAAGTCGCCTTTTGTGTCAAAGTCTCTTTGGAGTCTTGGTTCGCCTCCAAGTCCGTTTGAGCAACTATTTTGTGTTCTTGGGTTTTGGGACTGGTTTGCTCCTTGCCATTCCATTCTGGCTTGCCTTTGGCTTTTCCCGATTCGCTCGCCTTACTGGTATCAGGTAGAGTATCTTCTTTCTCACCCCAATGATGGTTCGCGTCAGGAACCTGTCTAGCCAGGGAACGCGGTTCGCCGCACACCCCGCCACCAGTGTCACCCTGTTTAGGGAGATGCGTGTGGAAGAAGCCTGCGATATAGAGCTTTCTTTTCTTCGGAAAAAAATCTCTGATAGACCGTTATGGTCCATGGCAATCGTTTGCGCTACAGGCACCCTCGATCGCACGTCCCCCCGATGTCTTGGCCAATGTGCAGACCCTTTTACCTCGCCCCCGCCCCCGTCTACGAGCCTCGGTATTGGCATCTTAACTTTCGGGTACGACCCGCAACCTTTCAGGTACGCCCTGCTATTCTCCGGGTATACGCCCGTCTTGATCGAGTTTACGTTGCGTCTTTCGGATACAGCCCGCTCGTTCGTCCCATGTCCCTCCCGTCGTTGAGATCGGCCCCGTTGCCTTTGAGATTATCGACATGCGGACTTGTACTGCAGGGAACGTTTATGTAACCCCATCGCCACTGTCACTCCTTTCGGAGGTTGACGAGAGCGGAAGAAGCCAACAGATATTGAGTTTCCCCTTGGGGATTTCTCTGACAGGCCGCTATAGCCCCTGGCTCAACTTGCATACAAGCACCCGGCTCCATCCGCGTGGGTCCTCTGCTATGGCATGGCCTGGAGACGCGAGAGTCCATGAGCGGACAATGGGATAAAGATCACATTCTCCGCTCATGGACACCCCTTGGAATGATCCATTCGTGGATGTATCCTTTTCGTGGACTGCCCTGTGGATTGTTCCATTCGTGGACTTCCCCTGTGGCACCTTTTCGTGGACCGCCTAGATAGGCACTTTCGTGGACCGCCTAAATAGGCAATCCTTTTCGTGTTCGGCCCTTGTGGCACATCGTGGATACCTTATCGTATCGCCGCCCTCACGGGCAACCTATCGTGTTTACCGCCATCACTCGTTCAACCGACCTCTCATGTCGGGACCGAAGTACGGCATCTGGCTTTTGACCTCATCTCCTCCGACACAGGCTCGGTCTAGAGATGGACGTCATTAGCTTTTTCCGTGGTTACTTTTGCGGACGGAGGCGTTTTCCGAACCCTTGGCGGAGCGTCATCCATTTGTTCGCTTTTAGTAACCGCGTTGTAGCGGATGCAAGACTGCTAGCGTGGACCTCGTCAACTCCTCGTTGACCAGGGAGGAAGCGCAAAACGTCTGCGGTGTGGTGTTTTCGTCGGTCGACTCTGAGACTGGCTTATTCGCCGCATCTTTAGCGGGGCAGGCTGCTAAGCATACTCGACTACGCACTACAGTCAAGATTGCAGGAATGTCTGTCTGGAGAAGAATGGATCGCACATTGACAAGATTTTGGCAGGCGATCGCAAGAGGTGGATGGGCGGTAGAAGTCGGACCCTTGCGCCTCCTCGTCGGTGCCGCCTGGATAGTCGACCATGTCTTTCCTTTGAGTGCATGGGAGTGCATGGGAAGACATGGGAGATGAACTAGATGCTTGGGACGCAAAACGAGTCACGATCGATTGAGGTCTCTGCTGGGGCAGAAACCTCACTCGTATGGCGGCGGTGCTGAGACCACCATCTGATGACTGGTAACGAACACGATTATTCCGCAGACTACCATGCCAATAGCGTGAATCGTTTACTCAATATCACGATGAGTTGGTTGCTCGGCATCGGCGTACTGAAACGAGATACGATTTGTGTTCTCGACGGAATAGCTAGAGATGTTTTCCGGCGGTTTTTTGTCACAAAATCTCCAATGGGGGTTCAATGGCTTGACCCATTGGAGTGGTTCAGGTAGCTAGTAGCGGTTGACGAGGTCGTGAATGCAACCTGGTGGCAGAATGGATGCTGTTGAGAGGTCTCCTCGCTATTCCTTTTTACACCGGACTTGATTGTCGAAATCCCCCAGGTGAGTTCTCATTCTTGACTTGTTGTCGTTGGTGCCGTTGCTGACCTTGTTGGTTCTCAGTGAAGCTATTGGAACGGCTCGCCTCCCTCTCCTCCTGCTCCTCTGGACGAGATGTACGGCAACGAACACGAAGTCTTTTTATGAAGGATGACCACGACGAGGCAGCGTAGCTGTCGTACACGAATGAGAGACGAGATGAAAAAAGCGGGGCCTCGCTACCCTGCTGCCACACGAATGGCTTGATACGATTGGCTGGGAGCCGAGGCAAGTCGCGAATGGTTTTGAACAACGAATTGCTGGAGAAGCTGCTCCAGCTGCAATTCACGATATCTCCAATGGGCATTGGTCCGCCCGTTGGGAAGTTCGATCACGACTACAAGGTCGTGATCCAGCACTTTTGGCTCATAGCGAACGGTGTTGGAGCACCGTGAGCACCTGAGGGTAAAATGCTGAGCTGAAGAGCACAATTCTTATCCTCCACACCAGACGCATCAGTAATATCTCATTTGTAACTTAAAAATAATACAATGAATAAAAGAATCAAACAGCTAGTAGCAAAGCAAGGCCTAGCTGAGAGGAACAAGAAAGAAATCGAGTTCGAGAAAGTGTTGCTTGAGGAGAGATACCTCGCGTGGGTGAGGGCGGTGTTGAGGGAGTGCTTGGATGCCTTTACAGTAGTGAAATGGGTGCCGGATCGGATAGAGGTTGACTAAGGCGAATGGCTCGGATGAAGCTGGTTCAAACGTAGATCGATGTAATGTGTAATGAGTAATGTTGGTTAATCTAACGTTATTCATTACACATTACATCAATCTATACTTGAGACACCTTCATCTTAACACGCGTCTTACCCATTCACAACGCCAAAATGGACCAACAACGCGTCCCAGCCAGAATACCTCCCAGCTTTTCTCATCATTTAGTCTGAGATAAAAAGTTTACGTAAATACCTTCCCACGTCATAATAGTAACACACTAAATCCAAATCTACCTCCTCATCTTCATGCTTTTCAGTATTTCCATGCTCACAATAGTGTTGTCCTATCGCTTAACCATGTCTTGAATGACGTACAAGGGAGTTGCTGATTTGTTGCCTCGGTAGGTGATGTAGCTGACTGATGCAATGAGCTCTTATGCAGTCGTCTGGTGGCTATTCAAGAGACATGCGACATGCGGTAAGGTATGTTAAAATGTCCTAGCGATTAAATACGTGTTGAAGACACATGTGCCAATGTGAAGATACGCACGTTCACTGTGCATCACCCTCCATCCATATCTACAAAGTCCTGCAGACTCGAACAAAAATCTTCCTCCGCCTCCTCGAACCTGTCTTCCTTAATTGTTTCCAGTGCTGCAAATGGCTGTTTATCCGCCGCGGATGTGATATCACTGAGGGCGTTCCTCAGCACATCATGTAAGTGGGTATTCACAAACTCACTCCACATCGCCGTTAGTCTACTATCATCACAGTGAGTTCTAACAGCTGCGTCCAGTTTGGCAGGTAAGACACGAAGGAGTTGCTTTGAGAATTTGTCGACAGCCTGGTTCTGCGTTGATACACCATTCCGATAGTGGCGAGGGAGTAACGTGCGTTCTGTATCGACGTACGGTGATGCCATTTCTTCCTTCTCGGCGTCTGGGAAGAGGATTTTATAGATTTCACGCCATCGTTCAACTTCTGGCTTCCCTGATGTGCCTTTCTTGGAACGCATTGCCTCGAATGTTGAGTAGGATATACCCCAGATATGAGGTTTGGGGTTTGTGAGAAGTTGGCAAGGCTGAGTGGTTCGCTGATGGGCGGCTAGACTCTCTTTTCCTGCTGTGTTGCCGAAGAATGTATCACCACATCGTGAGCAGGTGTGGTAGAGGTGCACACGCTCGAGATGTTGTTTTAGTCGGTGGATGCCGAGAGAACCCGGTCCGGCGCAGGAGTCGTACGTGCAAAGGTAGGGGTTGCGTACGTAGAAAGGGCATGCGAGACCGGGGTTGAGGGTGTCTAGACGACGACGTCGGGTTTTTTTACGGAGTGGTGGTTTTGAATAGTCGTGGCTGGTAGTTACGGAAGGTGTTGTTTGATGGTCAAATTCGTTTGAGCGTTTGCGCGATGTGATGTCTGACCTGGATGTGTTACATGAAGCGCCGTAACCGCTGTCGAAATCCCGCAGTATCTCCTCGCTGAAAGTAAACGTTGCCAGATTAGCTGCTGTGACAGATTCTGATGATGTTGAATCCTCGCTCGGGAGACTCGTCATGACTTCGGTATCGCTACTGAGACGTGCAGCGAACGGCCCGTCGGTGTTGTATGATTCTGGAACTACTGGCTGGCGTCGGGCGTTGGCATCCGCTGTGCCACCAACCAAGCTATCATATCCAATAGAACGCATAGACATGAGCCCATTGATACCGTCGAGCTCGCTACGCACCACTACATCGTCCAACGGTTCGTCTTGAAGAAAGGGTTGAGAGAGTGCCAGGTTTGTTTGAACTGCAGAGACCAAATCATCCGTCGCAAAGGCTGTTCCAGAATGCTCCGCTACTGGCACGCCATCACAAGTAACAAGTGAAGTCTCAAAAGTCTCTTCGTGTTCTATGACGTTTCGGACTCCATGTTGGAATATCGAAGGATTTTGGAAGGCGTATTCTTCCCAGAAATTACTGTAATCGCACATCGAACATGCAGCCCAGAGTGAGACACGATTCTCGGAGAAACCGCATTGGCAACATTTCCACATGCGCACGTATTGACCATATCCATTGGCTCGCGAGTAAATCACGCTCTCTTCACAATGGTCGCATCGCCAGTGTGCACCGCCAGGTCGAAAGATGCTATAATTTGAGTACTGGTTCCTCGAGTCTTGAGAAGCTGCAGTTGGTACCGCGTCGTCAGGTATTCGTGTGAAGTCGAACGTATCAAAAGAAGGTTCCATAGTAGTGAGTTTTGGTATTCGCAACCGTCTCAATTTTTACATTCCCTAGAGTTGACAAGAAGGCCATGTTTTCATAAAACCAGCGCAATCTCCATAGATGATATGTATCGAAGTCTGCAGTTGCATTTGTGGAACACGCAAATTTGCGCACATGCCCAGTCATGGGGCTTTGCGCGTATAACCACTTGGAGATGGCAGATTCAGCTTCGTGCATGATGCATATAAGCAGAAACGTGTACCAATCAGCAACCGTGGTCTGGAGCTGCAAGACTGGTGGGCAAGGGTCATCTCGATGTATCAAATAGGCAATCTGTCGGATGCTGGCTTCTTCGTATTAGAAGAGAAGCATGGTGTGAGTTTGAAGCGTCGCATGTTCAAAGAAGGCACCTGGTGATCAAAAGGTTGTTGCGACCATCCATGCCGAGGGCTGATTATCTGTGCAAAGAACTCTGACTTTGCTTTGATAATAACATAACGATGGTTTCTCATCATCTGTTCTGGTTCTGATCGAGTGTCCCAGCTTGATTCGGAGTGGCGGCGCATGGGCAGTCCGTCACAAGGCTGAAAACGCCACGATGCGTGATGTCTACACAGCCCCGCGTCAGCCCTGGACGTCAACAGAGAGTCGTCTGCCTAGACCACATCACCGTTGCACGAAGACTGCCTCCAGTACTTTAGGAGCACTTAGATCAGCGAAACTCCAATACTGCACGCGATGAGCGAACGAGAAGCGACATATCAAAGTCATCTGAGTGCTGACTCAATCGTCAAAGAGTCGTTCGAGGCACGTCTTGGGCAACCGACAGAGCCCGAAATGTACAAACACCAGCGTCTGGATACTTCCACGGATGAGATACGCCTCCTGAAACTTGTTCCTGAGACAAACGGTCCTGTACGCTGCGAAGTCAAAGTCTTTCCGTTGGAACGCGCCCCGAAATACTTTGCGCTATCCTATCGATGGGGCCCGCCTTCGCCCTTACACGATCTTTACATTGAGGGCAAAAAGCTCAAAATACGGGATATTCTTTATTCATGCTTGCTGGAGTTACGAGAAAATTTGGAGGAATGGCTATGGATCGATCAGATTTGCATTGCTCAGGCAGATACCTTGGAGCGAAATCATCAGGTCGGAATGATGTCACACATTTATCGCAACAGCATTATTGTTATCATCTGGATAGGTGACATTCCCTTGGCAGCGCCTGAGGAACATGATCATTATAATGATTTGGATCTCGATGTTGCATCGACAAGGGTGTTGCTGAAGAACACATATTTCACAAGGTTGTGGATAGTACAAGAAATATTGCTTGCCGACAATGTCGTGATTCGTATCAACGGGCACCGTTATATCACGTGGGACAAGCTCCAAAGCTTATGTATAACACAAACAGAACTCCATGATGTATCTTTCAGAAACATACCTCTGTTTCTCCTGGCATTTACACAACGCGAGCAGAAAGCAGTGGACTTACGGCGACAAATGTCGCTGACGAATTACGTCTGGTGCTTTTACGAAGGAATATGCGAGAATCCACGAGACAAAGTGTATGGCCTGATGGGTATGGTACGCAAAGAAGACGGGGTAGTGGTGGACTATAGAAAGGGCGTTCTGGAAGTATATCTGGACTTTGTGGGAATCAGCATCAATAAAGGATTTGCGAGAGTCTTCAGTACGCACCGGGAACAGTTCGAAGGCCCTGCGATACATTACTTTGAGTTGGGAAGATTGATGGGCATCGGATCTGATGTATTACGCGGTGTTCTGCGACTGATGATAAATCGTTTAACTGTTCACAGGAATGACATAGTAACAGCTATTGGGTTAGAAAAAGCAGACCAAGCGTATGAGCAGCATAATTGGTGGTACGAGTGCAATGGTGAGAGGCATCTCTTTTCTTGCCGGCCTCTATCTGATTCGGAAATTTTAATGTTCATGTAATGGAATCAATGAAGGAAGATGTCGACCGAGCAAGGGGTAGAGGAGATTCGTCGTGAAGTGTGCTCGAGTCTTGATCCAAATTATAATGACTCTATAATCATGACGTTACCATGTTTTCTCAGCATGAACAGTCACCGAGACGTTTATCGTGATGTTCGAAAATGCTATGTGCATCAAAGAATAGTATTATCAGAGATACTAGATGCGCATGGGTTTTATAAGGATGGGTGTTTTGTCTCAGGTGGACGGTAGACGAGCCACTGCTAACCTATCGTAGTAGTGGAAGCTATTTATATACCAGCGGTAGCTCAGCAGTATACCAATAAGTACACTAGGTCCTGATAGTACACAGACCAACTACACCTGCGCCAGAAATATAGATGAGGACCATGGCGGTTCATTGTAAAAACTTAACAAGCTGCACAACGCCAAAACCTGAGTAACACACAAGAATGTACTGTCTCAGGCTCTGATTACTGTGCAGCGATGGGTCAGTGGATAGTCAATTTCACCATTATTTCTACCGTCATAGATTATCAATAGTGCGTATTCGAGAACAAAATACGACCGAATTTCCAGTGGCACTAGAAATCCTGTACACCATATCGAAGCCGATAGCCTACTTTCCAAGAACCTGAAGATTACATTAGTCAACCATAATTCAAACAAAAGAGCATACCAACATACTTTATCAATAACTGCCTGCCCCATCATCGCCGCATTCGCAAGACTACTCTCCACCGTCCCACCCACCCTCATAAAATTCACCGCCAACACCTCCAACCCCTTCTCCTCAATCAACCTCTGCGCCTTAAAACCCCACCGATCCTTCAAATCCTGCATCTCACCCTGCTTCCCCTGCGCAGCCGCCACCCACTCCTTCTGCATCTCGCGCAAATCCTCAGGCCGGACTTCCACCTTACCAGACGCGCGAGCGAGGATGAAGACGTAGCGGTGTGGACGCGGATAGAGGTAATTAGGCAGAGGAGCTGGACGCACGTAGGGTGAGCGCTCAGCGGCGGCATGGTGGGATAGCGTGCCGTCAGGGTTGCTGGAGAGGTTTGTGACGAGCCAGTGGCGGACTTGACCGCAGTAGGTGTCGTTATTCATTAGGAGGTCTGGGTCGACCATCATCAGGACGAGGTTGTCCAGCGGCTCTGAAGGCTGGATGTTGGGTTAGTGGGGGTTGCTAGCTGTGATAGTTGCTGGTGCTTACTGCAGGGTTAATGAAGACTTTGGGCTCAGGTTTTGTGTCGGGATTTTCCAGCTCTTTTCCTGGCGTGTCGAGCTTTGCGTTTGGCCATTCTAGTGTTAGGTCGTAGGAAAGGTTGATGTTGTCTGGAAGGACATCTGGGATGACCTTGTGCTCAGAGAGAGCTTGTTTTGTTGCTTGTGTGTTTGACATACTGAAAGTGAGAGTTTGCCGTATGAAAACGAAGATTTGTCAAAATTCGTGCATTTCAGATATGATTATTTCACCCAAGTATTATACGAATTGGCAGCCGCATATGCCGGAGAAACTCATGCATTACGAGCAATCGCGCATCATGCATATTGTTTTCGGACGCGATCCGCTCTCCTTATTGCCCAGCTAAGTCGTCGTGACCGACGTTGAAGAGCTCTTTTTGGTTAGTGACGCGGATATGCAGGCACGTTGGATGTCGTTGTCGTACGATTGACGAGATGACGTTGATATGACACGCACAAGGCAGGCACGCGACGCGAGGAACCTCGGCCACGTGCCAACCCCAAACTACGGCCACGATTACTCAAGCACGACATGTCTGAAAAATGATGCGGAATATTGAATAGAGCATATACTCGTAGTATGTGCCTCAGGTCAATGACCCTTTCGTCGATGTATTGCATCCGCGCTCAGCAGAAACTCATTCCTACTTTCAACCAGAAAAATTACGGCATACCAACTCGTTATCCTGAAGTCACCCACGCTGGCTATCGACTCTCCGGCGCCTCGTGTGGTCGTACTTGATCCCCAGACAATTCTACAGGTGCTTGCGTAGCCGGAGCTTCGTGCCTGGAAACTTCGTCCATGGGAGCTTCGTGCCTATACTGGGGCGGTAATTCCCCTTTGGCTGGCTCGTAGTAGCTTGTCGCCTCTGTAACTTCCTTCTTCTTCTTATGCGACCTTCTTCCGATGAGAACACCAATCGCGATCAGCGCAATAACACCAGCAGCAGCACCCACACCTATTCCGGCCTTTGCGCCTGTCGACAGACCGGCACTTTCGTTATTCTGTGGTGTTGAAGAAGGCGAAGGGGTTGGAGTATTCGTCGCATTCGCATTCGCATTCGAGGAGGTGGACGGGCTGGATGGGCTCGGCGATATAGAGGCACTTGTGGACGTTGGGAGTAGCGAACTCGTGATTACGCCGCTGAAGGTGGGTTCGACTTTGAACTTCTCAAGATTGGGATCCGAACAGCAATCGGTTGTGTTGCCGCAGCACCAGAACTCGGACGTAGGGGTTCCGTCGCAAGGAGTGACAGTCACGTCGTTTTTGCTTTGCTCGTCCTACAAGTCCATGTCAGCGTTTAATCGCGCACCTTGTACCGGCCTTTCATACTCCACTCGAACACAGGTCCTGGCAGCCTCCAGCTTCCCAGTTTTGTAGTGTGCAACTCTCTCTAAAATAAAGGCCGAGGTATTCTTCAGTTGGCGCAAAGGCCTGACAGATGCCATTCGGAAGACAGGTATCCTCGCCTTCGCCAATTTTGCAGCAGATATGGCTGAGCGGATCGGAAGTGTCGTTGGAGCACGGCTGATATTTGGCAACGGTCTGCAAGCCCCCATTACGCCAGTAACAGTTATCTGCAGATGCCAGTGTGGTGAAGGCGAGCCATAGAACGGTTTGGAGCAACATCATGTGTCGTCTTCGAGATCAGACGACGCTGTAGGGCTGAGAAGCAAACGCAGGAGGCGCGAAGGGGGATACGTATAACATGGGTTTATCACTACCAAGTTCATCTATACTTGTAAAGCTGAAGGATCCATGGGGCGGGGCGTTAATGCGTTAATCTCATCTCTTGATGCTTGTTGTTGTGCAACGCGAGCGTCTACTGGACCAGTAAGCGACCGGGCGAAATCTGACCTGGGTATTTGGGGGCGGAAAACCCACGCTCGCGGGCTGAGTTGGTGATTCCGCTCCTACGGTAGCCCTAAACAGATTCTCGGTCCGATTAGCAGTAGGATTATTTGGAACCCCGAACGAATAGGAAACTTGAACGTTGGATAAATACCAGCGCAGGTTCCTACTTCCGGTTTCGTAGAGATGCCGCGGCCCAATCACCGATGCACAAAGTACGTAGAACTGGTTAGACCAAAATTTGAGGCTGCACGCTGCACGCGTAGAACATAGCTGATTATCTTGCCTAGTTCCAAACACTTAACATAATATATACATACATATGCCCCGTCACCACTTCACATGCTGGCTGTTGGATAGAGCCGCTCACTTCTGACCTTTTCCCACCAACGCCATGTTATGCCTTGCGCATTCGAACCATATATACAGTCGAACGTATCGCCTTCAATCGAAGAATTACAAAGAATAAAATAGTGAAGAACCTTGTAACAGAAATTGAATGACTAGCAACCAACTCTCGGCTTGCTATGAGTGGGTACGGTCACCGTTGACCGAATGGTGCGTCTGCTGTTGATCACCGGAGCCGTTAGAGCCGTTTGTAGGGGGCGTTGCAAGCTGCATAGGGCTTCCGTAACCGTCTAGTTGAAATGCCATTTTGCTGCCCGTGCTTACTCTCTCTGTGGAGTCGGGAAACGACATGGCGGACGTATCGTCCATGGGCGTGAGGCTAGTTTCTTCGACGTCGGTGGTTGCTGGGGGTGGAGGCGGAGGTGGAGGCGCTGATTGCTGGCTTTCAGAAGTCGTTCGGGTTCGCTTTGGTGAGCCAGACTGTGCCTCTCCGTCTCTCTTCCGCTTCAGGTCGGATGTTGAGTCGGATGGAGAGGCCTCATCAGCATCACCGGCTGGCCCTGAAGGGGTGCTAGGAGACTCGCTGGTGAGGTCTGACTTCACACCACTCTGTGCGGCCTTCATCTTCTGTCGCTCTTGCTTCTTCTTGACAGCCTTGTCCATGAAACGCTTGACCTCATCTCTGACCGTCTTCTCGTGGTTGGAACTTATTCTAGCCGTCGGGTCCTTGACACGACCGGACTTGTAGTCGCCTCTCACAAGCTTCTGTGCCACCTCTTTACTCAGTCTTTTAATCTCCTGCTTTTCGAATTTCTTGTAATACTGTTTCGTTACTGCCGTGACGTGCGGTGCAAGCTGTGAGGGTCAGATATGCTTTGCAGAACAATAAATAATACTCACTGTCGCTTCATACACCTTTTCCTGCTTTTCTAATGATAAGGTACGCCACTTTTCACGACCAAAAGCCGGTTCTGTGTCCTCATTGGAGACTGGCTGCGGAGTAGTAGATGCGGAGGGCCCGGTAGGTGTGTTGTTCGATGTTATGCTCGCTATGATGTCTTGTAACAGCTGCGTCTCATTCCTAGCCTTATTCGGGGGAGGCGGTGGGGCATCTGCAGGCTGGGTTGGTCGTTGCCACTGTGTGATACCAGTCTGGTTGTAGAAATACGTCGAACCGTTCTCGGCTGTGGCCTGGTACCAGCCTTGTGGAAGAGCGTTGAATGGCCTTGGTCGCATAATTGGTCGTGGAGTGGCGAAGAAGCCAGCTGGGCCGCGAGGTGCATTTAATACACGAGGACCGGACGGGATGTTTGCTGCAGATGGGCCTTTGGGCGCAATCGTGGAAGGCGATTTTGACCTAGACCGGGAGCGTTCACGAGCTCTCTCGCGTCGTTCATAATGATTCTCGGTCCGAGCTGGTGTGCTTGCGTTTGGATCTCTCTTCAGCCGTGGTATCCTGTAGCCGATTTCCAGCTTACTCCATGCAGCCAATAGCTCTTTGGCGGCCTCCTCGACTCGTTCGTCTCCGCAGTCTGTCAGCTTGCTTACCTCCTCTTCAATACCAGAATCTTGAATCTTGTTTCGAGTAATGCGTGGCAGTCTGTGCAGTACGTCCAGCACTTGGAGAACAACATTGTAGTCATCCTTCCACCTAGACAAAGTGGTTTTGAGGTTTCTATAGCCGTGGAATTGGACGATACGTGCGCGAACCTTTTCGTTGTCGGTCTGCATACGGCTGAGAAGCTTGACAGCAATCCACTTTTCTTCGCAGTTGCGCAAAGCTGATACGACCTTGTTTACTGCATCCTCTTCCAGCTCGCGGGTCTGCAAATTGCTAACGTATTCCTCATCGTCTTCGCTTGCCTTCTTCTTGCGGGGCTTCTTGGCGACTGCTGTACCCCAACCATCAATATCGTCGATTCCGAGAGCCGCGATCGTTTCATTGCTAAGGTTTGTCGCATTGTCGGACTGTGTCTTTCCGCCGATGAAGCCGCTACAGTTGGGCTCACCACAGTAGCAAGGTTGCGGATCTGCGCCGTATCGATCGACATTGTAGTTGAAAACAAGCTCCTCGCCTGCTTTGACGCTACGCTCGACGAATATGCCCATGCGCAGTTTATCCCCAACAACCCACTTGTCGACGAAACAGTTGGGATTGCACGAGTGATTGCAGAAACGACCCAGATTGCCCTTTTTTGTGGCATCTACAAACTCGCCCTTGGTAAGGGACATGAAGTAGAAGTGCTTGATTCCCTCGTCGTCGTATTGACCCATGCGGCGGCGGAAGGTGCGCTCGTCGATGACTTCGCCAATGTATTCGAAGACGAAGTCGCCTGGAGCCATGTCCTTGTTGGCGCGAAGACCGAAACCCTTCTTCTCCGTCTTTATAACCGTGACATCGGCATACTGTTTCCGCTGAAAGCGCATGTTCTGGCATTTCCGACCGCAGCCGCAGTCACCTAGGCACTCCATCTTTGTCGCGCGGTTGATGCAGTCGGAGTCTTCGCCACAGGCATGGTTTGTCTTGGTCGTGGCGTCGTATTCTTCTTGACAGTCGCATTCGAGCGCAGGGTCGGTGGTGCCGATGGTCTTGTTCGCGTACGTGCATTCTGGGAGGACTACGAAAGTCTCTTTGGCGGCGGCAGTAGAGTCGGGCAGGTCGAGGAAGAGCGGAGGCGGTCGTGAGACGACCTTTTGGGACGCGGTGCGCGAGAGCTTGGGTGCCTTGCCGGGCTCCATCTTCAGCGTGATATCACCACCTACGATCTCTTCACGGGCGCTGCCGGGCGACGGAGTATCGACTTCGTGTTTTGTCATGGGCGACTGGGTCCTGGATCGCGTCTTGAGCCGGGGAGGGATGGCCAGAGGCGTGGGCGCGCGATCATCTACCTCGACCTTTACCTGACTGGTGTCCTTGCTCTCACCTGCACCGTCCGAGGTCGCAGCTTCCAACTTCA